AATTTTAACAACTTGCAAAGCTAACCACAAAGGAAATTTTTAGACACCACCCAAAACCATTTTTGCATTTTTGAGAAAAGTATCTCTCTCTCATTTCTTCTTATGTATTTTATGTAGCCTCTTCTATGTTTAAAAAAAATGCTTACGTTTTACTTAACATAGACCACAAACAAAATTATCTATTTGACCATAGAATCGACAAGATTTATCAAAATCAGTATCTGGTCCAAATCCTGTGTTCGTGAACAAAGATGATGACCTAAGATTCAGAATTTCAAATTTATAGTTTTGTTTTATTAATACGCTTTCTTTCCATTTCCTACCTCTACTTATGAACTTGTCTGTCATTTCAAAAGCCTACTGCCCTTGTTTGCCTCTTAAAGTTGATCTAGTTTTTCTTCAATATGACAATAAATAAATGTATTATTCAAAAGGTTTGCCCCTAACAAAAAGAAAATTTCCTTTTCTTTGTAGTAACAAATGAGTATGGTAAAAATGTACACAGCACCACACAATGGTAAGTAGTGAGTTGTGAAAAACTAATTTAAAAGAAAATTTCAGCAAGTCCTCAGAAATACCACACGAGTAATCATGCTCATTTCTGCATCCTGTTTATGTATTTTTTCCCATCATGCTCAGGTGCCCCTTTGATTTAAGTAAATCAGAAATCAAGCTCCTGATCTAGGTAAAGGGCATCACTTCAAAACCACAGTGAAATTCAGAGCTACAACTAATTGCTCAGAGGCCTGCGCTCTAAGTTATGAATCTCCTTGTCATTCCAATTCAGCTACTGATGGGAAGAAAGGAGCAAATACATTCTGAAGTCTCTAACAAGCAGTATATGTGTTCAGAAGATAAAAGTTACGCTCTCGTTGGTACACTCAGTCTGCTGCTTTTCATTGGGAAACAAAATTCCTCATGGTAAAACCCAGTTTCACCACGAAATTTATATCACCATTTGCCTGTGTTGGAAAATGGGGCGAGAACAACTGCCTTTTTCGTAGAAATCACTCACTGCGAGGCTGAGAACGGGACCCTGGGCAGGGAGCCTGGAAGGGAGAGACATCTGCGTCCACCGCACGGTCCCGACCGAGGACGTTTAAACCCGGACAGCGTGGAAGGGGTCCCAGGATGTCCCTTGCTGTGGATGAATTGCTAATATATACACAAATTAAGGGTAAGGGGAAATTGCTCCTTTACACTCTAGTTTGTTGAGTCTGTAAGCATTTTCATCTATTTCCTAAAATCAGCTTTGGCTACTCAGGCAAATGCTTAACCAATTTGAAAAACATCTCAAAGTGATCCTGCCAATATTTCATTACCATGTGAACATTTACATAAATGAGGTTTGCTTTCTAACAGTAAAATAGATAACTGGAATGTCTTTATATCGCACTTGGAAGCTCAAGTTGTTCTTTATTGCCCTCCATTTAAAAAAAACTATGCTTTCTTAAGGCCAAGTCAGAAATGTTGGTTTGCCCTGCAGACTTCAGAAGAGAGCATAATTTTAAAATTATAGCGCCCAGAAAGACCTGCATTACATTCACGGATGATTATATACAAGTAGACAGTGTGCTATGTATACATACATATACACACACAGTATAATACATAAACACACAAACTATGTATGTTCTCTCATCTACACACACTTTACAATAATAAATCATTCTTAACTGATGTCCTGTACCTTATTGCCATTTATTATTGTTGAATTAAGACCTTGCTAGCTAATAAATCGTCCCAAAACTTTATTGACTCAAAATAATAATTGTACTATCATTCACCTAGAGCCTGTGTATATTCTAATGCTAACCAAGCTTAATGAGCAGCAGATAGCAGAAATTTAATAATGGGGAAAAAAGCCTAAAAATGATGTAAAGAAACACACCTAACGGTGGTTATGTGATCTCTACATGTTCTTATCCTGACCTTTATTTCTTCGTACTTTTCATCATTTTCCAAGTTTTCTACACTGAGTACAAGTTTATAATTGGAAAAAGCTAAAAAAGTTTTCTTACTCAGAATATACATAATACAAACAAAAAAAATACCATAAAAAAGGAGGCTCAGAGTCAAAAGAAAAAAGCCACAAAAAAAAGCACCCACAAAAATATCAGCACAGTTCTCTGGGCTGGTGGAACTAGAGTTACTTTTTTCCCCTTATTCTTTTCTACACTTTGCCTGTTTCTTTCTCAGCAGAATTATGTCCCTAATATTTCTAAAAACTACTCTCCAACATGCAGCGCGCATTAAACCCTCGGCCTCTTCCCTGAATGGCCACAGCACGCCCATGCCCCCCCGGAGACCGGCTGACCGGAGGGCACTGCACCCGCCCCACCGCGCTGTTCGGGAGGCTTCCCCCTCCCACCCGCGCTCCGCGCTCTACGGGCCGGCGGGCGGGTGCGCGCGTCCTCCCCTCTGCTCACAACCGCCCCATCACTGTGCCTCCTACTCCCGCCCCACCCCGCCCCGCACACGCAGCTCCTTCCAGGCCCAGGCCACCGGGCTCCCCACCCTCACCCCATCCCGGTCACCGGTGGGACGGTGCTGGTGGCCCCCCTCCCGTCACTGAGAGTGTGGCAAGGACCTGTCTGTCTGTCCACCGCTGCCCTTCTCATGACGCTGAGCGCCCATGTCCACGCGGCAACGCACCCAACACCAGGCCCCCGGGCGCCGGCCTTAGGGGACACGGCCCAGGGCTCACCCCTGGAAGCCGAGCGCGGCACCTCCTCCGAATCCCTGCGCCCCCCACCTGCCCAGAACTCCAACCCAAAACCCCATCACGCTGCCTTTTTAAAAAATCAGCTATCACTTCCTTTAAATGTTAACTTCCCACCGCTCTGACCCCTGCCTTGCCGCTCGCTCACTGTCATCACTCACCCAACAGCCCCCAACCAGTTCAGGCCAACTGTCTATCCCACGCCCTCCCCAGCGGCTGAATGAGACCAGAGAAAGACAGACAGGCGTGCGGGCTGTTTACACTTCGAATTCACGACCACAAACTTCAAAGGGGGTCTGCACAGCGCGCCGCTCCCTTTGCGCAGGGCCTTGCAAAGGAGGCCACGACAGCTCCCCGACCCCCCAGCCATCCCGCCCGCAGCCGCTCGCTCGGCCCAGGCCTGCACTCTCACCACCCCCTGCGTGTCCTCCCCGCGCCCCCACCCCCGTGGGTCCCCGGCTGACCTGACCGCTTCCTACCACAGGCGGCCCTTCCAAACACTGCGGGCCCCTCTCCCCCGCCCTGAGACGCCACGGAGCGCGCTCTGCCTTCTCAGCGCCCTGGTGACCAGGGCCTACCTAAGAAACACGTGTTGAAATGGCGTGTGCAGTTTCTACTGGGTTATATTCCAGCGAAAAAGTTTCCTCTGTGTGTATGTGTATTTGTGGCATAACTGAATGGGAGTAGGAGAACTGAGTAATCCTATTTGGAATCAGAGAAAATAATTCTGAGGTTGACAAAACCGAAGTTTATTTTGATGCGGATCTATAGCGCACCAGCTTCCTGCCTGGAAGAGCTGGGTGGCGGCCCAACAGCCACAGGAAAGGGCTAGGCCGGTGGCGGAGGAAGCGCTGTGGGAGCCGCGGCCGGCGTCCTGCGGCTGGACCCCTGCGGTCGGGAGAGGGACCCCGGGGCGAGAGCATTTCCCCTGGGAGGCAGGGCCCCCCCCCCCCAGCAGAGCCCAGCGTGCGGAGGCGCACGTGATTTCGGGGACCTGGGAGTGAGTGACTGCAGCCCGAGAGTGGAACGTACGCTGACAAGCGCGAGAGGGCGACCGGGGAGGTGACGGGTGACCACGTGGAGCCCACTGAGGGGGGCAGGCTTTATCCTGAGAGGAAGAAAGAGCGGGGCGGGGGGCGGGGAGATCTAGCAGGATGTTTTTCTGAGGGCCACGCTCCTCCTTAAAGAGATGGCTTCAGCCACAGTGTTGAGAACAGTGTGCGGGGGAGCCTTCCTCTTCCCAGCAACGCAGGGCAGGTGCATTAGGAAAAGAGCGCAAAGCAGGTGAGTGTCGAGATCCTTCCCTAAGAAGCACGAGAGGCAACTAAGGATTACAATACAGGATCAAATAAAATAAGCAGGGAACGGACAAATGAAGAGGTACACTGGTAAGGTACCAAATCGATGAGGAGTTACTTTCAAGGACCGCGGGACAGCTTAGCCAAACTTTCAAGGAGGTCGAGTAAGATTCACAGAGATGAGGAAAGGGCTCGCCAAACTTTGTAAAAGATTTTACACAGTTGCTTCCTAGCAAAAATGACTGAAAGAAAACAATCTATTCTACTTAACTCTAAGCTATAAAATTCATCATAGGCTGACTACTAGAAGGCCTTGTCATCGTTACAAAGAAAGTTTTATTACCAGTAAAACCATATGAATACATAAAGTAACACAATTCAAGAGATAGCTTTATAAATAATTCAAGGTTGTGAAATAAAGGCCTATATTATTCCATTATTCTGATAAAAATTAAAACAATAATAAAATAAACTGACATAAATTAAGAGAACAGCTGTACACATTGACACCACAGGAGGCAACAGAGAGCCAAAAAGGCTAAAAGACAGCCTTCCTCAAGAATGTACTGTTTGGAGAGGGAGACAGACACAAACGTCCTTCAGGCCTCACTTCTCCAGGACTTCTGCAATGATGATGTGACTTTACAGGTTAAACACAGTTCTAGAAGAGACGTTAACCTTCTTCACATTTGGCAGCGCAAGACATAGATGTCAAAGAAAGAAGATTCTAACTACGGTTAATACCTTTATATTTCTAATGCCCAGCTCTACACGATGCTGGATTCAAGAAAATGACCACTGATCAGAACGACAGACCAAAACGTTTACCTATGAAATGCAGAAGGCAGCATCAAACCCTGGGCAGATGAGGAGAGGAAGGACCTCTGCAGGAACTTCTTAAGGGCCAAAGGAGAGCCGACCTTACGGTCGTTCAGACGGACCGCCTCGCCCGCGCCTGACCGAGGCGCAGCCCCACTCACCTGACGACGATGAGCACGGCGATCAGGATGGAGCAGATGGGGTCCGCTATCATCAGGCCGAAGTTCTGCATCACGACGGCAGAGATGATCACCCCGATGCTGCCCAGGGTGTCGGCCAGGATGTGCAGAAACACGCCTAGAAACAGAGCGCCCGGAATCAGCACGGCACGGCCCCGCCGCCCCACGGCAGGCACGTGGCCTCAGGCTGCCCTTGGTCTCCTATACCCAGCGCCACCTGCCAGCTTGGAAGGTGGTGAGAAAGCAGACTAGCTGTTCAGTCATGAGGAAGCAGTACCTTGGGAGTTGAAATCATCTTTCCTGTTCAAACCATCAGGGGTTACTATAGCTGATGCAGAGTAATATAAAGGAGGAAGTAGGGTGATAAATTCATCTCTGGTTAAAAGAGTCCAGAAGTTAATTAATATCTTGTTAGAAGGAAATTTCCCTAGGCCGAAAGAATCTGTGAAGAAAATGTTGCTTACGGCTACAAATATCAGAACACGTATTATGGACCCACAGAGCCCTCTGCTGGTCATTAAAATTCCCATTTGAGACGAAGTTCCTACAGATCATGTAACTCTATTAATCTTGACATATTTAATTACCTTGAAGTTTTTGTTACCTAAACTTACATACTAAACTCAAACTTGATGTAAAAGAAAGTAGAAATTTGAATATTTAAAGTAGATGTAAATATATTTGAACTTTTAATAATTAAATATTAAATGGATAGGGTACTGATATTGTAACTGCCCAAGAACCTAGATATAACATTAACATTGACGAATTGACACCTGACAGGAAAGCCATTAAAAAATGTCAAGAAGTAAGTTTAATAGAAATTTTTTTTTTAAATTTTAACTAGGGAAATTATTCAACATTTAGATCTTTAATAGGGAAAATCTACTGTAGAGCAAAACACCATCTCTGACACCAACTTCAACCAGATTGTCACCGAAAAGAGAACATTTGTCAACAGCATCGACTGCTCTATCTAAAAAGAAATTCCTAACGTGTAAATAGTGTGTGGCTACTTTGGAAATACTTATTTTTCTTGATTTGTTATTCACTGAACACCAAATAAAATTACTCCCTCAGTAGCTATGTACTTTTTCACCTGTATAACCTTCTCTATCTCATGGCACACGTAATGTCTACAATTCTGTGGCACACCAAAAAATATTTTTGCCAATTTGGCAAAAAATAAGTAAAATTTTGATTGACAAAAAAAAAAAAAAATAGTTACCTACCCTTTTTGTTCCAAAGCAACTTTTTTAAAAAATCAGGTACCTATACTATATATAAGGATTTCTGTGACCAAGAATTAACCAATCAGACACAACCTTATTATGTGACGTGACCAATAAGATGCAACTCTACAATATGACCTATATATTATGGTTCAAGATGGGGCATCCACACTGGCTACTGTGTTGGCTGCTGCCATTTTTTATTTAACAATCGGAAAGAAAAAAGGCCAGTGTCCCTGACTCAGTAGTCTCGTGCTGCGTGTTTTAAACATTCTTGCAGCACATGGTTGAAAATCACTTGTATAGGGTAGTGACCTTTATAACAATCCTTGGGAAAAACTGGCTATTTTTCAATCACAAAAATATGTTAGAAGAACACTTGTAAGAAAAAATATTTCATGTCCCTAGGGTATTTCAATAGCAAAGAATAAGTGTTGGGATCACCGTAAGTTTTAAAACTAAATTGGAGAAAAATATACAGCAAAGTGGACTGAGAGTCCCTCAAGCTTCAAAACTCTTCAGTGATATGTGATTTTTAAGTCTTTCTGTTTTTTTAATCAGTGTTTTGGTAGAATCAGAAATGAAAATAACTCTGAATATCACAAGGAAATACGAAAGAATCATCTGCTTTGACTTCCCTTTGATTGTTAAGTCCCTAGCTACCTCTCCTTTGCTGACCTGAGTGCTGGTTTTATCAGCAACACGCACTGCAGCAAACGAGTGAACCAGCCAGTTCGCGCACTTTTCCATGCGTGAGTATCTGCGAGGAGAAGTGTTAGTCCCAGGCAGTTCTCCCTCTTCCTGGCCTTCCGCCATCCAGTGGGCTGCTCCAGTCACCATAGGTGGACGGCACTTAGCAAACAGGAACCATTTCCATGGCAGCTTGTGTAAAAGGTGATTAGGAAGGCTAGCTGAACCTCCCCTCCAATTGCGATGATTTCCAAACTAAAAGCAGCCTCTCGTTACCAAGGCTGACTTACAGCCTTGGATACAGATGCATCACACATGCACGATGACACGCTAGGTCAGCAAACGCTGTTCCACAACGGTTCTACATATGTTGCAAACGGAAAGCTAAAGACTGGAGGACAGGCTTCGCCTCCTCAACTCGCCCCTGCAGGAGGGAGGAGAGCACTCCCACAGAGGGTGCTCAGAGAGAGGGCTGTGTCAGGAAGCGGGGGCGACGCGCAGGCGCACGGCTGTCGGGCCACGAGCCGCCCAGAAAGCCAGGCTGGAGCCGGAAGCTGGCAGAGGCAGGTGGGCGGGCAGCTGGGAATGAGGAAACCTTAACAATGACGTCTAGAGGGGAGCTCAGCGTCGGAGACTGGTTCACATCCCCAAAAAGAAAGCACCACAGCTCATACACAAGACTGATTTCCCCTGGCCTGTTCAGCTCGTAATACGCTGTTTTACATGATGTGTCAGCTCTTAGGCGTGGTTTTTGACGCCTGCGGATATAGCTGAGGTCTCGCCTTGCATTATTGCATTACCTTCTAAAAATGTAATATACTTTATCTTTGAGAGCAGTTGCAGATTCGCAGCACAGTTAGACCGGGAGACAGATCTCCCGTGTACCCTTTGCTCCTACGCACACTCAGCCACCCCGTGGTCAACGTGCCCCACCAGAGTGCACGCTGGTCACGCCTGGTCACGCCTGGTCACGCCTGGTCAAACAACGCTGACACACCCTTCTCTCCCAGATTCCACGGTTTAGATTAGGGTTCACTCTGGGTAGTGTGCCTCTTTGGGCTTGGGTGCATTTCATTTGTGGCACTAAATTTTCCTGCAACATGAATATATATGGACTATGATTCTTGGAAAAATTGCTTAATAACCCTAAAAAGGGTTATTAAACGTACTACAATGGTGTTACTATAGTCATCGGGAGGGGTATTATTCATATTTAAGCAGTATCGTTTCTGAATATTTTATTCTTATTAAATCTGAAGAAACAGCTACATGACAATTAAATTAAAAGAATGTCTGCTAATACACCTAATATACAAATACGAAAACTCACTAGGAAGGCTAACATGTTAAACGCAAATACTATGTTATGCGTTTTTCTTAAAGGAAAACTATGAAACCAGCTTCATAAAACCGAGAAGGTCCTTGTCATACCTTGTAAAATCTGTCTGCTGGGTCCTGCCGTTTCTTTAAAGGAGGGGCCATCTGTAGAGAATTAAGTTAGATGATTTTAAAACATGTTTTCAATTCCTGATTCAATTTTTACAGTTGAGGGTATTTTTCATTCACATGTACTATGAAGGATGCAGGACTATATAGCCATATTAGACCTACAAAATTATTTTCAAAACAATATAGTAATTTAATGGAAATAGACGTGAGAAATTTCAAAATACATCAACAGGACAGCGTACAATATTTAGGAAATTATTACAGTAAGCAATCTGGTAAAAAAATACAGTAAGGAAAAACATTGTGAAAGTCTAATATTCGTAACATTCTACCCCTAGCTCGCTACGCTGATTTTAAAATTAGAAATGCACCAAACCCCAAAACTACCGGCTGAAGTAGTAAGAAGCCGAAGGGATGAAGCCAGCACGGGCTCCAGGGAAGCCGGCGGGGGCTGCCGGCGTGAGCTGCAGTGTTCCCGTAGCTTTCGGGGAGCGTGCCAGCTGTTTCACCCAGAAGCGGTGAAAACGTTCATTTTGCCTTTATGATAAAAGAAATGACAAAACTCTACAATCCGTACACAGAAGTGCTCTGAGGATCGGTGATGAGCTTTCAAATGGAAACAGAAACCACAGGTGAACCGTGTGAGGCCGAGCGCTGGCCGCGAGCAGGGGTCGCGGCAGGGGTCGCGGAGAGGACGCGCCGCCGCCCCGCCCTAACGGAGCGCAGCCGCCGCGCGGTCCCTGGTCCGCGGCACCCACGGGCCGGCTTCCCACCGCGGCGCTGGCAGGGCCCTGCCACGCCCACGGCGGTCTGTCTGGACGCCGCGCTGCTGTGCGGGAGCAAAAGCGTGGCCGCCTGGAAAACCCTGCTGAGGCGGCCCAGGCACCAGAGCTCTGTCTATAGGCAGTAGGTCCAGATAAAGACAGTCGTTTCTGGCAAGACTACTTCTAAAGGTGTATCCTGCGGTACTAACATAACAGCTGCGTGAGACAGCGTGACTCCCGGCTATGCGGAACCTGGAAGTCCTTCCGGACGTCAAGTGTGTTACGTGTTGCAGAGCGTGGCCGGCTGCTTGCCAAACCCCTTGCTCCTTCTCCGCGGGCAAACAACTAGACCACAGGGCCCGGGCTGCCTAGAGTTAGGAGCTGCATGTGACTAAGGGGTGAACAAAGAAATAAGAGATGGAAGACACTTCTAGGTTCCTAAGGATGTCCCGCATGACCTCTGACCGCACTCCGAGGGCTAAGAAAGCCACCAAGGCGGGGAGCCTCCCGGGTCCTTGAACTGCCAGGAGGAGCAAGGCCCCCACCCTGTCGGTCGGACACAGGACAGAAACCGTTACCGCTCCCACGACCGAGACAGGAGGGAGCCCCGAAGCACACAGCGGGCGGCGGGACCCACAGGGCAGCACGGGGCTTCCCGGGGCGCGGGGGGACCCACCGTGTCTCCTCCAGACCAAACGGAGTCGTGGCCCCACCGCCATGGCGTCCTCGGGCCGGCTAACGTGACCCCGAAGGCAGAATAACAGTTCGGAGGCTTTGGGGTCAGACTCCTTGTCTTGGAAACCTAGCATTTCTATCTTACTAGCTGCTGCGATGTCATGGTAATTTTTCTTTCCCACTTCCCCTTCTCCCTCCTGACCGAAACAAGGGCTGCCTCTCACCTACCTCAAATCTTACTAAGTAATTACTGCTCAGACTCCAAGCCCCCTTTCACGTTTCCAAATCTAAAGCTTTAGAATTCTGTCGATATGGCGAGTACACAAAATATTTAAGTATATAATTTATTTAAAGATGAACCACATTGTACCACTTAAGCAGCTCTGTCAATCTATACTTGAAAATTTCATGAATAAACGATTTAAAATGGAATTTTTAAATAAAATATAAGTTGCTAAATACCTTATAACTGAGTACCCAAGGCCATGTAAGTTAGCATATAAAGATTCCTAAGATCATATTGAGGTACATATCTATCAAAATTACGATGAAGATGTGAAGGCTGGAAAGCTCCTATCGTACTTTTATAAGCCTATATATAGCACAAAAGGCCTTATCGCACTTTAAAAATACCACTTTCATCTGCTGAAATGCAACTGTTCCTCTCTCACGGACTCTCACTTAATACAGCGGCTTTTTATTATAACACACTCACTGGAAAAAAGCTACACCCCCTGCCTGCACCAAGTTAATGGCATCATGTGCTCAAAAAGAACTAGCCCGGGAACCCACGTCCTCTGGCTCACAGAAAGGAAGTTGATTGCAATACTTTTTAACAGGCTCCCCTGGCCAGGAAAAGGCCTGCGCCGAACTCCCGCCGGGCCAGAGGCGCCCGCACACTCACCGTGGGCACGGCCGTGGGCGTGGCCGTGCACAGCCCCGTGTTTCGGCTCGTGGCTGTGGCAGTGGTCCCCCCGGCCGTGGGCCTGATCCAGAGCGCCGTTGAAGAGGGAATGGCTGTGCCCGTGGTCTAAACACAGGGTGGAACAAAGGGACGTAAAAATGCATCATTTAATGGTACAATACCGGTACCCGCAAAAGCAAGTGGCTCTAAACCCACATTCGATTCACTCAACACTGACTGGTAAAAGGTGTTCTAGGGTCATTAAAATAACACTTGAGTTCCTGCTACATAGCACAGGAAGGAAATAAAAGCAGAGACTGACAAGCCGATCCTAAAATTTATATGGAAATGCAAGAAATGACCCAGAGTAGCCTAAACAACCTTTCAAAGAAAATAAAGAGGAAAATTCACATATCGTGATTTCAAAACCTACCTCAGAGTCGCACAATCAAGACAAAACAGTGCTGACGTGAGGACAGACACACAGATCGAGATGGAGCTGAGGGTCCAGAAACGAACTCTCGCGCTTCTGGTCAGCGGCCTGCTGACGAGGGCAGCAAGGCGATGCGGTGGGAAGATCATCCCCCCCCAGACGGTGCTGAGGCCGCTGACCGTCTGTGCGCAAGAAGCTACTGGACCCATTCCTCACACCAGACACACAAGTTGACACAAATACTGTCGATCCCTGATTTGACTCAAATGAACGTATTTTAACCCCCAAATTTAAGGACGGGTCCTCATGAGAAAATCTACCAATGTAATTACTAATTTTAAGTTAACTAAAGGAGGAAACAACATTACTTCAATGGGTTCAGGAATGCTCTTTGGCTGATAAAGCAGTTTCATCAGAAACAAACCAAGTGCATCGGACCCAGCAGGAGTACTGAGTAGAATTCTTCACATGAGCAACGGTGCTCGACCGTGACTACATGTTCAACTTGGCTGGAGGGGGTTAACATGTACTGGGTCTCTTCCTCCAGAGCAAGGAACTGATATATTTCAATGTCCTGGGATTAAACCTGGGCATCACTAAAAGTTTCCCAGGGATTTACCCTCGCTGATACAAGGATATGAGCCCGAACTCTCTGTAGTCAACACTGCGCTAAGGGTGCTGGCTATGCAGAGACACAAACAGGAACAATAGTTACATCATTCTTAATAAAAACTGTCAACTACCTAAAAATGAACCAAATGAAAAACATAAAGAGCTTTATTTAAAATGTCTGAGACAATTTAATAGAAGACATGAAATTTAGTATGAACATGAAATTTAATGAGTTGTGTCAATTTTTCACAATTGACCATAAAGACAGTGAATTCCCAATCAAAATTCTAAAGAGATTTTTCATAAAACTGGACCAACTGATGAAAAAAAACAAACAAGTAAGACACACCCAAAAAAACCTCAAAAAATCCAGACGCAGGACGTACCCTACCAGACATTACCACACAGAGCTGACAGCAACTATTCCAGTGTCAGAAGGGCAGTCCAAGACGGTCAGGTGAAAGTGTCCTTTGACATTGGCCGGGGGGGAAAAGATGACGCCCGGGAACCACTCATTCACACAGAGAAAGAAAAGTTAAGTCCTAGCTCCCCAGCACAAAAATAAATTACATACAGATGCAGGGCCGAAATGGACGGGAGGAAAACATCAAACCAAAACTGTCACAGTATTCAGTAAAAGAGAACAGGTTGATGACCAAGGGGTAGAACCTCCTTCAAGCAGAACACATTCCAGAAAAAATGTAAGACAGAAAAACTAGACTATATCCAAGTTAAAAACCTATACATAAAAGTTTAAAGACAAGCCAAAGACTGGGAAAAGATAGTTGGAACACATAAAACAAAGAACTAGCATACAAAATAGATTAAATATATTTTAAAAGTGCTTGGCCCTGGCTGGTGTGGCTCAGAGTGCCAGCCTGCGAACCAAAGGGTCACTGGTTCGATTCCCAGTCAGGGCACATGCCTGGGTGCGGGCCAGATCCCCAGTAGGGAGCATGTGAGAGGCAACCACACATTAATGTTTCCCTCTCTTTCTACCTCCCTTCTGCTCTCTCTAAAAATAAATAAATAAAATCTTTTTTAAAAAGTGCTTCTAAGTGGATTAACAATAAGACAATAGAAAAACAGGCAGGCAGGCAGGGAGGGAGGGAGGGAGGAAGGAAGAAAGAAAGGAAGAAAGGAAGGAAGGAGGACGATTCTAGAATAGAGAAACACCAAACAAAATAACATTTTTATCAATATTAGCAAAATAGTTTTAAACCCATAATATTAAGTTTTGATGGGGGTGAGAGGAAATAGAATCTGCAATTATTAATGGGGAACATGTGAATGACAGCCATTTGGGAGGGCAATTTGCTGATGTCTCCTGAAACTCAAAACTGCATGTCCCATGCTCCAGCAATTCTACTCATCTGCTGATAATGGCTTGACTGTTGTTCCTGCTCGTCTTACTGCACAGCGCCATTCAGAGAATCTTCTCCAGCGACGGAGACGCTCTGCAGTTGCTGTCCAGTAGGGCGGCCCCATGCGGCTCACAAGCCCTCGGAATGTCACTAGTGTGACTGAGGAACTGCGCCTTTAGTCAACCGTGATTTAAGTTTAAAGAGTCCCGCGTGACTAAGGGCTGCCGTACAGCACAGCAGAGCTCCAGAAAAGCACGCGCCCGTGTTCGTTCCCAGCACGTGGCGTTGCGATCGACCGGAGGAACCCGAGTCCATTCGCACAGGCTGGTGAGATCTCCCAGGGGACGCCACCTGGTGGAGTCCCGTGCGCCCGCTGACGACCGAAGGGGGAGGGACAGATGGGCCGAGTGAAGGGTCTCAGGGACAGCGTGCACGGCGGGCTGCACACCCACATACACGGCCATTTCCTAGTGCCTAGATGTGTCCTGTGGTTTTGATGCTTATGTGTTTGTTTTATATAAATGGCGTCATAGTCAACAGGTGAGCTACAGGCGTCTAGAAGGACCCGCACCCAAATGGTAACATGTGCAACTGAGAAGGTGCTGGGGGCGGGGGGGGGGGCAGGGAGGGCGTGGCGCAGTGGAAGGGATGGTTCGGGAAGACGTTAATGAGAGTCCATAAACATTATTAGCATTGTTATTAAAAATCAACAGTTTAACTTTAAAAGTTATCCATTTGCCCAAGAGCGGTAACTATGAGAGACACCAGAATCTGAAGACGCAAAGGGCTCGAACCATCATACCAGAGCCGTGAGAGTGCCCGTGGCCTCCGTGCTGGAAGACGAAGATGCCCGCCAGGTTCACCGCAAACCCGAGGACGGAGACCAGCAGCAGCCTCTCGTGGTGCACGTCGGGAGGGGCCAGCGCGCGCTGGAAGACACAGAACGCAGGTCGCAGTGCTGGGCTTCCCAGCGCTCAACCGGCCACAGCACAGAGCAGCTGGGCAGATTTTTCAGTTATGCTCAGAATTAAAATCTCTCCCAGAATAGCGGCCAAAACAGCATATAGAACTAAAACCAGTACTCACATACTGTAGAAAAGGTAAAAATAACTGTTTTTAAATACATACAAATATTTAAAAGCATGAGTATCTGTTCCAAAACCCATCTTTCTTTGGGATCTTAACAAATTCCATTCATTTTAAGTTCATTCATCTTTAAATTCTCTCTTCGTTTTAACACACCGAATAGTAAGGAGTCACTGGCGAAACTTTCAGAGTCTGTTTAAAGAACTCTCCTCACTGCCTGTGTTTTACTAGTGTCAACACTTCATTCACATTCGTTTTCAGTTTCAAGTAGTCACACGTCTATTTAATTTTAAACTCTTCCGTAAACTCCGCCTGCACACACACAGTATTTTATCTAAGCCATGGCTGTCCTCAGTACTTAATAATCGTGTGAAAAACAGCTCTTATCACATGTACCTTTAGGAAACAAACATTTTCATTACAGAAATGGAATTTACTGACTCTAAGCATTATCTACTATACCTCAACTCCTTCTGAGAAAATAAAAAAAGCAGTGAAGATCAAAAATAGCCCATTGACAAAGCCAGCCAGAACTTCTGCTCTGACATACCTAGAGAAGAGCAAAGTAAACTCAATTATTAAGTTATTTCTTACAAGTCAAATAGTAAATTTACGTATGTCAACAATTCTAAACCACCTTATATGGTTTTAAGTGGCCAGCAAAGTCCAGGATTTATAGTGTAATATGTTTTATTGTACACATGTTCTAAAAATAAAGGAACTTAATTATTAAGAATTATGTTTAATAGCAAAATGCCATAAATTACATAATTTCTACACGCAAAAAAAAAAAGAAAGAAAGAAAGAAAGAAAGAAAGAAAGAAAGAAAGAAAGAAAGAAAGAAAACTTTCTTAAAGTAGATTTAGAAAGACCTTTCCCAAAACGTGTCTCAAGTCGCCACTGGAGAAGGAAGAACAGGACCAGACATGTGGGCAAAGAAGGACCCAAAGATAAAAAGTAGAAGAAAAAAGCTTGAAAAAGAGGGTTTTATAACTTATTCATTTCTTCCTTCCTAAGAACACCTCATGCTTTCTGCTTTTTTCAGCTTTCAAATCTTCACAAAGTGAAGACTTGAGCTGAAGGAAAATATAATTATTTCTGAAGTATCCCAGAAACTTGAGACTTATATTCCTAACAATCTTTTTCTAGGATTAACAAATGTTACAAAACCTTTTACCTATTTTTAGAATCAAGTCTAACTTAATATAATTCTAAGTAAACTATTTCTTTTTAATTGCCTGTCTTTTCCCCCATGGGCTTCTGAAGTTTTCTGCTTCCCTCCTGTGTGAGGCACTGGCAGAAGCCTTTGTTTTTCCATAAGGTATCTCTGGCTTTGGAAAGTCATTAGAAACAACGTGAACTCGACAGCTATACTTGTTCAAACATTATTCCAAGGGCACTCACAGCTCTTAATTACTCTGGTCCTTAAAGAATAGGAACATCAAAGACACTGCTTTTTCTCACTGTGTTAACCTCTAGAAAATACAACTTTTACTGTAAAACTATTTTTAAAGTAAAAGGAACAAACTCTTTATAATGTACTCTGTCCAGAATGTTGGGGCTTACCCTGTGCAGTACATTCCAACACAGCATACATTTCTACACTCAGAAATAATGTGTATTTCTGCCTTCTAACATGTATCCATGAATTAAATTAACATATTACTTGTCAAAGCATATACTTTCCCCCCCTCCCGCCCCCGGAGAAGAGTTTCACCAGCTCTGAAGAGCTGACAGCCTGCTCTCCCTCCGCAGCCCGCACTCGGCCCGCACTGATCTACCACATCGGCAGCGTCACTGCTTCCAAAATACAAGCCCTTTCTTTCCCCACCCGCTAGTCCCACAGCCAAAGCTTGCTTGAGGGCCCCGTGTCCTTAGAGTCCACCAGGCTTCAAGGTCAAAGGCAGGAATGCTTCCCAGGCATCATTTTGTCCCTACTGCCTGGCTTAGTAGGTGCTCCATTAATCCTGCTAAATTGTTGGACTGCAGCGATTTAAAGCAGTTTCATGTATCTGCTAAACTTAGTTGCAGGATAAAACGAAAACCGGTGGGCAGCAGACATGCCTGCCTTTACATGGACTGTGTTCACTGCAGCAGAGCGAGCCTCAGGAGCAAACCACGCGCCTCCCGGGTGTGTCGCTGCCTACCTGTGACCGTATCGGAATTCTTCTGCCAGGACAAGAAAAGAAGCACGTGTCCGTGCAGATGTGCATCAGCATGGACCTATGACGTGGCTCTACCACCTGTTCGGCGTCTGTCACCTTTATGCTGGCTTTGCTTTCAAAGACAGGAGTGTACGGGACACAAAGGTGGCTTTCATGTAAAGAAACACCGCAAAGCCTCTGCTGCCTCTCGGACCCGCCCCGCTGTGGTCCCCACGTGGGGTCAGCCCGCTGTAGCGGTCGCACTGAACTGGGCTTTGGGTCTGACCCCCAGGCTTGGCCTACTCAGTGTCATACCGGGGTGTCGACACCCGCATTTTACTCCTGCGGCTACTTTAACAGCTCTAGCAATTATTAAGAGTTTCAAACATGGTGTCAGGTTTTACTCCCTAATTGTTTCTTTCTCAAAGAAAGTCTTTAAAAAGGCAAATAGGAGAAGACAGGATAAGAAATAAAAGGTGCCAAGAAGATTACTCTCTTGTATCAACTAGTTAAAGCGGAGTAGTATAACCCGCCCTGGTACCAAAGGTATTCAAACTCTTAAAAACCATTGTATAGCAGCAGACTGTGCATTCTAACCAGAAAATAATAGATACCTCCAAACGCAAGGAACTGGGCAGAGTTTTTACCGTCACCTGCTGCTCATCCAGAAAGACTCTTGAATAAGATAGTCTCACTAGACTTTTGATATACAATATTTATGAATTACTCATTTTCCAATACAAAATGGTAAGTTTACACATGATCTTTCTTTAATAATCCAAAATATACTTAAGGATCTTTGATTTTATAGTGCCGTGGAAAATGTTCTTTTCTGAGTATTCGGTCTCTTTAGAGTTACAGATAGACAGGATCCCTTGCTCTGAGCTCTAACAACGGTATAATTAGTGTTTTCTGTCTCACTTTTCATAGTTTTACCAGGAACCTTGCCACTTTGGTTATACTGTAAATCAGGAACTTCTGTCACGGACTTTCTATCTGTGTCTCTTTGCATCCGCGACAACTGTGCACTTATCTTTACAGGACTGTTTCCCCATCAGACCACAAGTTCCTCAGGGCAGATGCCAGATCTTACTCATCCCTACTTCACTGGAGTAATGAAGTCACGGCCGCAAGCCCCCGGAGACAACAGAGCGTGTGCAAGGAGCAGAGAGCGCCTGCTCCGGAGCAGAGGCAAAGCTGGGCGCGGAGGCGGAGAGGGAGGCCCGAGCGCGCATGGAGGGGCAGAACGGGACTGGGGCCAGAGAGATGGGGACACTGCCCTGCAGGGGGAGCCCCCAGGGAAGGACGGAGGGCTCGAGCCAGAGCCAGGGGGGCTGGAAAGGAGGGGGTGGTCAGGGGTAGGGACAGAGAAGGATAAGGGGAAAGATGTGAGGGCGGAGAAGGAGAGGGAGAACTCAGGCCCAAGAAACAAACGGAAAATGAACAGGAGAGCGGAAGAGGTGGGAGAGAGAGGATGCCTTTAGGAAAGAGGGAGAAAATGGGACAGACCGTGAAGGAGGGGGACGTGGGAGGCGAGGCCCTCACAAAGCAGGGAGACAGGCGAAGGAGAGAGGGGTGGCAGGGGCGCAGACAGAGGCAGAGGGTGGGGGCGCGCAGAGGGCGCAGGCTCTGCCCGAGGCTCCCAGAGACGCAGCGACACTTCGGAGCGTCCTGGGAGCCCCAGGGAACGCTGAGCAGAGTCTGGCCGGCGGACGGCGACAGCCGGACCCTCCCCAGCGGCCTCTGCCTCGGGGGCTCCAGGCTCGGAAGCGAGAGCCCATCTTCCTCCCGCATGGAAACACACTCCAAATAGCTGACCGACTGGCCGGACTGGCCAGACTCAGCAAGAGCGGGAGGAGAAGCTCGTTACATCACAGCGGAGGTGAGGAGAGTGTGTGACATGAAGCCACTCTGGGAAATAATGACCTTAAATAAACCAACAGCAAAATATCCCTCCTAAAAAGAAAAAGAAGAAAGAAAGCTGATGATCTGCATAGACTACAACTGTTCCTTTATCTTCTTCAAAACACTAGGTGAAGAGTTGAGAAATTCCCTTATCTAGTAACAATCTCACATGAAAATTTCTGGCAAAATCAAGATGCCCTACCTCTAAGCAAACCCCCCCCAAAACCCCAGTAAAATTGTGGATTACAGGTATATAGCATCCAAAAACAGGTAACCCTAATCCATGACATCAGGAAAGTGGTTACCTGTGGGAAGGAACCAGGAGGCATGAGGGTGTCCATGGTTCAGCTTCCACAGGTGCGTTCAATTTGTGAAAATTCTTTGAGCTTGAGATGTGTGTATTTTTCTGTATTTCTTACACTTCAACAAATAGGTTTATAAAAAGTCTTACCCATAAGAGAAAGCATCATTATCTCTCCATTTCGAAATAACAGACGCTGCCAATCCAGCCAAAATGGCAGTGCTATCGAAAAACATGTGAAAAGAGTCGGAAATCAACCCTAGGCTGGAAAAGAACAAACACGGTGCGTATTAGAGTAATAACCAAATAGGAGGCACGCTTCTCTAAAAATCTAAGGTTCAGCCTCTGCTCATCAGAAACTAATCTTCCAAAAAGACAACACTGAAATATGACGAAGAAGAAAAGTGTGGGGAGGTGGGGTAGGGAACAGTACAGGTAGATTAATTCCATACGTTAATTATTCCTTCATTCTTTCACGGAGCGAATACGAGTAGACGTCCTATGTATGACGTAATCAGGGGCCTGAATAAGACAGAAGACCCTACTTTGATAAAGCTTACATTCTAGTGGAGAGGTGAAAGGCAACAGGCATTTGATGTGGGGAAAACACACGCAGAACTTATCTAGTCTTCCACTGTGTACACTATAATTAATTTCTTCCTTTAAAATGAAGGCTCTGAACAAGAACCAGAACCTTTGTTTGTGAAGCGTGAGAATGTTTTGTCCATCTTTTTTCCATAACAGAAAAAAAAAACTTGACATTTCATGTTCATAACATCTTGGAACTTAATTATTACAGAATAAAAATGAACACGGAAATGACGATGACAAAGTTCCAGTGAGAAATTTACTCAAAGAACTTAAAATCTAACTGAACCTTTAGAAACAGATAGCCCAGTCATAAAAAGAAACCGCTGATCAGTCAGCAAAAGGAAGTAAACATTGTAGTATCTAAAGAAGACAGGGAAAGCCAGATTATGAAGAGGCCCGAGCAGTTTCTAAATCTGCCCCGCTTGAATGGGAACACATTTGTACTCCCAAGCCACTGATAAAGGTTAGTATCAGGGAATAACTGGTTGTGGATCTGATGGTGATCATAATGCTGAACACAGGCCAGCTGAGCTCGGTATAACAGACACTGGTTCAGAGCTAGACTTCAGGTCTAGGAGATACCACAACACAGTCTGGAGACGAGAGTCCCAGAAGGCAAGCCACAGAAGAACACGTCATGCGCTACTGATGTTCTCCTTTCGTCGTGATGACGTTTGACAATGACTTGGAAATCAGTGGTTTTAGTAGTTTCCTCAACAGATCTCAGCAGACCAAAAGAATGACTGTGCACCTCACTCTCCCTGAAAGAGACAGTCTAGGCTCTTCAAATAGGAATGACTTGAACAAGACACTTCACATAGCAATTTGTACAATGGACGGCCACAGTAAAACATAATGTATTGTAATATAAAGTAACTATGGCGAAACTCCACACATACAGACCAAGACAGTCTTGGCACAGTCAGCACATATGCCACAATATGGCACAATTTAGGAAGAGTAAAATATATAAATACTATATACTTATAATCAATGGTTATTCCAATACAAGTTAAGACAATACAGTTGACCCTTGAACAACACAGCGGTTATGGGCACCCAATCCCTGTGCAGTCGAAAATGAAAGTAACTTTTGACCCCCAAAAATTTAACTACTAAGAGCCTACTGTTGACCGGAAGCCTTACCAATAACATAAACAGTCAATGAATACAAATTGTGTATGTTATGTGTATTATATACTGTATTCTTTCAATAAAGCTAGAGAAAATATTATTAAGAAAATCATAAGGAAAATACATTTATAGTACAGCATGTATTTGTTGAAAAAAATCTGCATGTAAGTGGACCCACACATTTCAAACCCATGTTGTTCAAGGGTTGACTGTATAGTGCTTTTAGCGCATACAGTACACTGAAGAGGGAATAATATTACAAGATACATATACATGATTCCCAGAGGATTGAAACTAGTTGTTACATATATTGAGATGTGATTGTTTCAATATGCATCTTATACCCAAGTGGTCACTAAACCAATAACCTTCATATTTCCTGAATATTGTTGACAAAATTAAATTCATATTTGCATTGAAAAGTAGTCCATTTTTCATGTAAAAGTATACAGGTCATAAAAACTGGTGATATTATCTAATGTCCTTGCTCAATTTCAATAGTGATAAAGATCAAGGACAGCAACTGTCTGTGAAATGGACCTTAAAGGACAGAAACTAAGTTTACTTAATTAATGGAAAATGAAGAACAGATAGCACAGGTTCTTAATTGGGGGTTCAAGAGCTATTTCGAGGAACCCGAGAACACCCGAAGTTTTATATAAAATGCTTAGTGTTCATTTCATCAGATTCTCAAATGTGTATGAGATTTGAAGACAAACCAGTACAGCTAAAAGTGCGATATCGTATTGTTGGTTGAACAATTTTATAAGACCTTTAAGTATTCAACAGCAAATAACCAGATAGTAGCATTTCATTTCTAGAGTTAAACTGGATATACTCCTTCCCAAAGCAGTTAAACCAACAAACAACAGAAGTGACACCGAAAACCATCTACTCAAGAGAGGTAAGCTTTTATCGGCCAACAATTGAATCTGAAAAACAACCTAAGCAAACAAGAAGACCAGAGACAGGATCATGCATACAGAGAGCGTTTTGATGGTTGCCAGGTGGGAGGGGGTGGGGGGGAATGGGTGAAGAGGTGGCGGAATTAGGAAGTACAAAGAGGTAGTTACAGACTAGCCATGGAGATGTACAGTATAGGGTAGGAAATGGAGTAGCCAAAGAACTTACACTCATGACTCATGGACAGGGGGGTTGCCAGAGGGAATGGGGGGTGCTGAGTGGAGGGGGGCAAAGAGGGAAAAATCAGGACAACTGTAATAGCATAATCAATAAAGTATAATAAAAACTACAAGAAAGTTTCTACTGCAGTCAAGACCAGAGGAAAATCATAAGACAGTTTCTGCATTAAATTAAAGACGGAAGAGAATGACACATAGTTCTTCAGACATCCCCTCTACAAACCTCTTCCCCATCCCAAGACCTAATAGCAAATTAAGTAGAACCTCTAAAATACTCCCTCTCCGAATCTTAAGGGTGAAATCCAAATGCCACTCCCCCCGCCCCCCAGAGAGGCAAGGACACTCCCCCGCGGAAGCAGAAAACAGGTTTCTCCCAACCAAGAAAGTGGGCAAAGCTAAAACGTGGGGTTAGAGACAAAGAGAGATCCACCTGCCCGAATGAGGAGGGGCCTTGCTTGCCACTCCACTCCTGTTTGACAGAGTGGGTGGGGGCAAGAAGTGGGGACCCAAATCTTAAGACCTGCTGCTTGCGACGGGCCCGGCTGTTCAGAAATGTAGCCATGCCAGGCTGGTGTGAATAAGAGAAACTAACTGGACAACAGCGGTGGCGGCACAGGCAAAACCTGAACCTGCCGGTGACCGGCTACGTGGCACTAGGCAAACAGCTTGGAATCCGCCACCCCACGGCTTCCGCCCCGGCCCTTCCCGCTTTGGTTACCAGTTGCTCCAGATGCCGTAGAGGAGTTCAACAAAAGCGAAAGAGAGGTTCAGGCACAGGAAGAAAAACAGGTTCCGAGACGTCTTGTCCGACAGGATAGACCTGGCACGACAAAGTGGGGAAGTGCCCGAGAGTCAAAGGGGTGCCGAGGCCGGACGCCGCGTCCCCTTTCGGGACCCTCCCAGTCCACACAAGTGAGGGTGTCCCTGACGCTGCCTCCCTGGACCTCGGGCCATCCTCCGATCTGGGCCTTGTCCTCCTCCCTGTGTCGGACACCCGCTCCCCGCAAACAGGGCACCCCGCACCTAAACCAGCCCGAGATCTTGCCGAACAGATTGAACTTGGGTGGTTTGTATTCATCGTCTTTGATGGACAGGGGCAACATCTTCAATGCCCGGCGAAGGGCCGGGTCTACTCCCCTCTGGAAGTGGCTCCGTGGGTGATAGTAGTGACAATGCTGACGCCTCGGACGGGAATCCCCAGCGATCGCCCCCGGCCGCGCGCCGCTTGGAGACACAGACACCGACACACGCCCGGGAACTCGCCGACTTCCGGCCCGGGCCGCGCAACGCGTCCTGGGATGGGAAAGGGGGCGGGGCCGGAGCGGGCTCCGCGAAGTGGGCGGGGCTTCTGCCGGCGCCGGGAGGTGGCAGAGCTGCTTGACCTCCGGGGCGGAGCGGGATGGCAGGTAGAGCTAGACGGTCACCGACTGGGGGTGGAGTCCCGCCGCCTGCGCTCCGGCAGAAACTCCTGGGGTGGGACGGGCAGGCTGGGCGCTCGCGGCGCCCTCCCCGACCGCCTCGCCCGGTGTCCCGGAATGCGCCGCGCCCGGAGTCTGCTCTTTCGCCATGACCCCCGTTGGAGTTAAGTCCCGGCGCGCGCCGCAGCAAAACCCGAGGATGCGGGTGCGGCTTGTCCTCTCGCCGCCGTTCCACTGGCAGTGCAAGTGATAGTCCTGCTTGGTGTACTCTGCGGATCCCCCAGTTTTAGGGGCCCACCGAGCTGCCCCGGAAACAGTCGGGTCCCTCCGTAAGGCCACGCGAAGGCAATCGGGAGGTGTCGTCCTAAGGAATGTGGAAACGCTTACGGGGAGCTGCTGCGAGCCCGTGCTCAGTGGGGGTTTGGTTGGTGCATTGCTCCCCGAGACTCAGCCCATCGGTACCCCACGGGCCGCCGCAGGCTCACCCTCCCCGCTCGTTACGAGTGCGGGAGAAGCCGACTTGTCCCGGCATCCAGGGGCTCCCGGGGTCGTTGGGACACGCCTTCGGGCGCCTTTCCGGGACTCCGTTTGGGGAAGGTCCGGTACATCACGTGAATGACTGACGGCGTTACCTTGGGGAAGAAACAGGGCAAAGCAGGACTGGTTCGGAGGTTGGCTGGGAACTGGAAAACCGCGCTTCCTGGGAAGTGCCTGCGCTGCAACAGGAAGTGGAGCGTCAGCGAGGGCGGGCGGGCGGCCCGGGGACGGTCCCAGCTCCCGGCGCGCACGCTGCGGGCGGTGCGTCCTCCCGGAAGGCCGGCCGGCGCCGCAGGCGAGCTGGATGCTCGCCGCGGGGTTTACAGCAACACGCGCACACTTCTGCGGGAGCTCGCGAACCGCCCCTTCCGTTTCGTGACGACCAAGCTGCGAGCAAATACCTCCGCGGCCGTGCAGCAATCTCTGCTCTCGAGGTAAGGGAAATCACACAACGCTGTTGGGTTAAAAAATGTTTGCAATGAGGGTGATGTGTGTTTTGCTTCGGTTCTTGGAACTTTGTGGGGGAGGGTAGTGAGTGGGTCGTTTTATTTTTGAAAATATAATTTATTTATTTTCTGACTTAAAAAAATGTTCATGCTCATTAAAACTGCTGTGCAGAAACAGCTAGATTCCAGAAATTAAGTTCTGGAACGAGTATTTTGACTTTGCTTTTGCTGGCGTATATTTCACTAGTACTTCCACTGAAATATAGAACTATTATCAGTTAGTGGCATTTACTTCTATTTCTTAGGAAGCTTTTATATTAGCCGTAGACTTTGAATTTCACTCTAAAAATTCTTTGAATATCTACTAAAAGGGTGCAAACCAGGTTAAGGATAAGTAAATATTTCCGTGGCAATTGGGTTTTATCTGCAAAACTGCACTATTTCGATATGATGTAACTTAGTGGGGAGGGGGAGGGTCTACAGAAATAACCGAATTTCTGCAACTGATTTCCATAACTCAAGGTCAGCTGCAACTTAAGCATGTATTTTTGTATTCTGCCTTTGAAAATAAATGCTGCAGTATGCTGATTACCCGAGGGAGAGAGGGTGCAGGGAGGTGGAAGAGGGTAAAGGGGGGTCAATGGTTATGGAAGGAGACGTGACCTGGGGTGATGAACACACAATGCAGTATACACATGATGTGTTATAGATTTGTACACCTGAAACCTATATAATTTTATTAGCCAATGTCTCCCCAATAAAGGCAATTTAAAAAGAAATAAATTGTGCATTTTATCCTATATTGCTATGAATGAGAAATCACTCTACTTGTTTATAGAGAAATCTGCAGTACTCCTTTTCAAATAGTTTTAAAGTGGGTTGGAGAAATTAAAGTTTAATTTCAGTTATATTGGTTTCCTGGGACTCCCAAAATCCCCCATTCCTCACCCCAGAGATAGAGATGTTCCCGTGACTGGGAGGACCTTCTCCTTTCAAAAGTGTCAAAGCCACTCAAAGCTGAAGTCTTGGATGGCATAACTACCAAGTTCAACGCTGAAGGCATTTTAGTGGAAATATAAACTGGCCACTATTTAAGTCAGGAAAAGTTGTATGAACGGAAAATGTTTGACTGTGTCTCAACTGCTTTTGGCATCTTGAAATAGTATTTGTTCACATCCATCAACCATTGTATATTAGTTATACTTTATACTTTAGTATAAAGCTAAAGTTAGTGTTTTTCATTCATTCAGCAGTCATTTAATGAGTGTCTGCTGGATGCCAGACTGAGTGCTGGGCACGGGGTTGGCGGGAGGAAGTGGGTTACAAAGCCAGAAAGGTCCAAGGTCCTTCCCCAGAGGATGTGGATTGAAGAACAAGCCGATGTGAGGACTGGGGATAGCAGCGGGCGAATCAGCTGCAGACTGTAGCCCTGTGCAGTCCAAGCGCCCAGAGCTGCCCCTGGTACAGGGAAGAGGGAGGTCTCTCACTGGGTGAGCCTTTGATACGTACTTAGTCATCCTTCTGCCCTTTCAATAACTTGTGTCCTGAAAGAACAGGATTCTGGAAAATCAAAAATGAGTCTTCAGCTCTTTTCAGGTAGTCATTACAGATGCAGTATCTTTACAGTCTCCGGCCAGATTCTTAATCCCTTAGTATGCTACAAGATTTAATGGGTGTATAAGATTATAAAATAGATGATACCGTAATGAACGTTTTAAAACTAATAAGTGGGTTTCTACTCTGAATGTTTTAATATTTGTTTATATCATCTCCTCATTCATTGCATTAGGTTAACTATGCAGAGTATATGGGGGAAAAACCAGCTTTTTAGACATAGAATAGATGACTGAGAAATGAGAGCAGAGAGAATTAAGGGGCCGAAGCTCATCGCCAGCCAGGGTTCCAGCTCCTTTCAGGCGACAGGCAGTAAGGGACGGGAAGGATGCCATCTGTCATTCCTCAGTCATCACCCCTGTCATTTGTCCATTACCTATTTTAAGTCCTTTGGTTCTTTAGATGCTTCACGTTGAATGCCCTGGGAACGTTTAGTGAAAAAATGCGTCTTGGTACTTAAGAATCTAGAAATCGAATACAAGCTATCATTACTAATGCATTCAGAGATTTTGCTCTATGGCAGATATGTTCTGGTTTCAGCCATGTAAACACATAAGATAGTGGGGGTGATCTGCACTTATTCTGCTTCTGAATACTTAAGAGCAACCTGAAAACAAAAATGTAGCAGTAGTAGCAGCAATCTATAAGAAAACATTATCTACCTCGTTGCCAGAATGTAATTTTTAGAACACAGAACAGCAATTTTTAGAAATAATTAAAAGCCTGTGGACAGTTGCATTAAAGGCATCTTTAAAAATTCCTGCTGATTGAACGAAAATATCACAGAAAATTCTTTGATTTCTCTTAATAGCCTCGAGAGAGTCTGTTCCCATCAATTACTGAAGCCATAAGGAAAAAGAATTCAGACCGTCATGATGAGGCAAGTACCGGTATATTTTTGCTGTGTTTAAGTTGTGATAAAATAGTCATATTTGCCATCCTCCTTTTTTTTTTAAAGATTTTATTTATTTAGACAGAGGAGAAGGGAGGGAGAAAGAGAGGGAGAGAAACATCAATGTGTGATTGCCTGTCACACGCCCCCTCCTGGGGACCTGGCCCGCAGCCAAGGCGTGTGCACCCCTGAGAATCGAACCAGTGACCCTTTGCATCTCACCTATTTTTAAGTGAACAGTTCCCTAGTGTTAAGTGTGTTTACATTACTGAACAATCCATCTCTTAAACTGTTTCACCTTGTGAAACAGAAATTCTGAACCCACTAAGGAATTCCCCATCCGCCGTCCCCCAGTCCTTTGCCAGCCGCATTCCACTCTCTGTTACTGTGAGGCTGGCTACTCTAGGTTCCTCCTATGAGTGGAATCATAAAGTATGTGCCTTTTTGTCTGTCTGGCTTATTTCATTTAGCATCATGTCCTCAAGGCTCGTCCATACTGTAGCATGTATCAGAGTGTCCTCTCTTTCTCCCTCCCTTCTTCTCTCTCTAAAATAAATAAAAATAAAATCTTAAAAAAAAAGTCCCCAGGCTTTACCAGATGTCCCCTGGAAAGCCATATTCTCCCCGGGTGAAATCTCTGGTGTAGAAGATGCTAGAATAACAATATCAAAAATAACCGAAGGGATGTGCTCCCTACCTATGAAGAACTAGTATGTTAACATATGTTCAAAAAAATATCATTTGGGGGATCTTTGATGTGGTTAATTGATGGAATGAATAAGCACATACTGTGACAGGCAAAGCACATAGTACAGCGTCTAGTAAGTATTGAACCCACTATAATTGTTTGCTGCTGCTGCTGCTGTTATTATCTGCTTCCCATATTAGGGTTCTGCATGGGATTTTATTTGGAAAAAGTCACCTTAAAGTAGTACACTGCAACACAGTATGCGTATGTCAGAACATCAAGTTGGACACCTTAAACGTATATGATTGATATGTCAACGATCCCTCAGTAAAGCTGTTTGATAAATGAGTGTACTACTAAGAAAACATCCCATTTGAAATCAGTCTCCGTTTTAAATATTTTTGTCATACAATGCGGGTAAATTTTAAAATGCACGGCTTCCCTCTTCCTGGTTGGTGTAGAAGGCCGTTTGTCCGCAGCCGCCAGGCCAGCAGGCCAGCAGGGAAGCTGTCCCCACGGACCTCCTTCTCGCAGGCCGGGTCACCGGGGCAGCAGGCGGGGGAACTGACATGGAATCAGCGAAACGAGACCGACCGCCCTCCTCGCAGAAAGAGCAGAAACCAAACATGGAGACCAGGGCGAATGCTAACGCTTGTCTCCGTCCCCCCTCCAGGTGTTGCCACATCTGCAGGCCTCCTGGCAGAGTGCCAGGCATCCGCGCCCTGCGCTGCTCTCTGGCGCTGGTCCTCACGCTGCTGCTGGTGGCTGGGGCCCTGACCACGCTCCTGCCCAGTAACAAGGACGACAAGATGCTCACGCTGCGGAGAGTGGCCAAGTCCCCGGGCAGGCCCACCCCGGACGGCTTCACGCTCATCATGCAGACGTACAACAGGACGGACCTGCTGCTGCGGCTGTTGAACCATTACCAGGCAGTGCCGCGTCTGCACAAAGTCATCGTGGTGTGGAACAACATCGGGGAGAAGGCGCCCGAGGACTTGTGGAATTCTCTAGGGCCGCACCCCGTCCCCGTGGTCTTCAAAGTGCAGGCGACCAACAGGGTGAGGAATCGGCTCCAGGTCTTCCCCGAACTGGAGACCAGGGGTGAGTCGCCGCGGGGTTCCCGGCCCGGCCGGGCGGCCGCTGACCAGAGCTGGGGCCTCCCGCTTGTCTTAATTTTCCCAAGAAGATAAGGGAAGGTGAGTCCTAAGAAAGCACCTCGAAAAGCTGATGTTGAGATTCCTAGATGTTGAGAAGCAGTTTCCTCGGAAGAAGGCAGGTGCCCTAATATAACAGCAACGGAAGGTTAATGTTGTGAAGGAAGCTTCATTCACACGTCATTGCATCACAGAAGGTGGTGAGATGCCATTCACCTCACGCTGAACGTGCTTCTTGCCCCCTCCTTCTCCTCCTGTTCTCAGCAGCTTCGTGAGGTCTGCTGTGAAGGACGTCGGTGTTACTTATTTATAGGCCCATCAGTTCCTATGATAGTGAATGAAAACTGCATGATACTTTCCCCCTCAGGCAGTTATAACATCAATTACAATCCAAATAAAAACTTTCTGCTAGACAGATCTCACCAAGAATACACGTTTTTTATTTAGTAATTTATTGGATAATACCTCATTGGAAGGATCTGTATAGACACCGATAGGTCTTGCTTATTTTGTTTTCATTCCCAGACTGTCTGGTTTTAATTATTTTTTTTCCTTTCATTTCAGCGGTGTTAATGGTAGATGACGACATGCTAATTAGCGCCCAAGACCTTGCTTTTGCGTTCTCTGTGTGGCAGGTAAGGCTGCTGAGTCCTTTGTGGAGTCATCAGCAGAAAGCCCTGTCTCAAGTCTACCCAGAGCAGCTTACTGGGGCTTCATGTGGGAGCCGTCCAGCATGGCAGACGCAGTGTTTATCTGAAAGACACAGAAGTTTGCGATGTGGTCATCGCGACCTGCTGTGCGCGGTTAAGCCAGCCCACGGGGCACTCCGTCTTTCACCGGTGTTTGCTTTATCCTTTGGATTCTGGGCGGAAGGGCCAGAGCCGCCTTCAGGGGACAGCGTGGGCGTGGGCAGGTGTGTGCGGCGGCAGAGGCCGGGTCCGGGGGCTTTCCTGCGGTCCCGGGTGCGTCTCAAACGACAGGTCTGTTTTGGTAGTAAGATGGCATATAACCTCCATTAAGAGGAAGTGTTTAGTACATCCACAAAATTTAGTCCTCATTCTGAGGTCATTGTTTAGAAATTAATAATAATTCTGAAGGCACCAAGGAAGTGGCGGTTTGTGTGTGTTTTTCCTTGAATCCTGGCGGGCACAGGATGCTCCCTAGTCCGCTATTCTGTAAAAGCAGCCCTTTCCCGTTGAGAATGTGTCCGTCGTAGCTGGCTTTTAGAGGTTGCCCTCCAGCGACCTGGAACCAGACCGCTTACCAATGCTCTCAAACGCTGTCCAGCATTTAGACACTGAGCTCCCCAATAAGTGGTTTCCTTTGCTCTCTCTCAACCGCCCCCCTCCCCATGAGCTCCTTGGGGTGGAGCAGCATTAGACGTGAACGGTAAGTGGTCACGAAGCTCTGCGGACACCAGCTTTCTCCAAACTTCGGTTTTTAACTTCATGCCTGTGTGCCAGTCAGCAAACGGTTTCCCTACCAGCAGTTTTTTCCTACCCTGTAACAAAAGCTTCTTAGGCAAAAAGTTCTCAAGTAATAAATACTCCAGCTGGGAGAGTTTTATTTCAGGTAAAAAATGAATTTCCTTAAAACATCAGGGACATGGGGGGTGGGATATGAGCGCTGTGGTTTATTAGAACAATGCAAGTAAACCAAAATTAAAGACGAATAAATACGACTTCAGGCTTTCACTGTAAAAATATCAGGAACAATTGCAGCCCGCGGCCCGAGAGGATCTGACTCCGAAAGCCCGGCGCCCGCCCCCCGTGCCCTGCAGCGTGGCGACGTGGGTAGAGGCGAGCAAGAGCGGACGTCTGCCTGTGCCCTCCGCCCTCCCCCACCGCCCCCCCAGTCACCTCTGCCGGCCTCTCCCCCCTGCCAGCCTGCGTCGGCTCCGAAGCCCTGCCCCCTGGCCCTCCCTTCGCGGCCAGCAACACCTGTCCTTCTGTCCTCCGCGTCCCCGTGGTCCATGCGGCCGCACGCCAGCCTTGCTGACAGCCTGTCGTGCCGCGTTCACAAGTCACGTCGTTCCCGGTCTGGACTGTGACTTCTTTTGTCCGTGTGAGAACATCCAAACCTGGAGAGAATTTTTGTAAAAATTTGTTGAAGGCACACGGGATAGGCCTGGAAGCAAGGTCTCAACGGACTGGGAGACGTGCTTCCTGGAATGGCAGTTTGCAGCTTTGATGCGTTTTGAATTGGGGCGGGTGGGACAAAGCCAGGCAGGGACTGGATCACAGCGGCGATTTTCGACCGTTCGCATCTCATGGCACATGTAAAATTACTAAAATTCTGTGGCACACCAAGAAAATACATTTTCTGCCAGTCTGACAAAGAAGATAGGTGTAATTTTGATTCGTCCACAGCTATTGCTGTGTTGGCTGTTGTCATTTTTTAATTCGACAAGCTAAGGGAAAAAGGGCAGTTATTGCATGTTTTAAAAACACCTTCAGCGCACCAGTTGAAAATCACTGGATTACAGGTTACTTAAGGTGGCGTGCTCTTTGAAGGCTGGTATTGCCTGTTTCAAAGGTGTGTTCACCTAGACGCACGGCGGTAGTGGGCTGGCTTCAGGCAAAGAGCAGCTTTTCGCTAAAGAAATGATGGGCCTGGGGTGCGACCACCTGCCATGACCTGCCCTGTTAGGGATTTAGGGTCCGAGCCGCCCAGGCACCTGTGGAACCTACGCGCCCCTGACACGGGATGTAGCCCATCCTGAGTGTGTGTGTGTGTGTGTGTTCTACTTTAGTGTCTGTTCAGCAGGTGAATGAAAGTCAAGTTACTTGTGGGATTAGACCTTTTAACCCTGTAAGTTCTTACCTTTTTCACGTTTCGCTGGTTTTCTTTTGTTTGATTTTTTAAGTCACTGTCACCCTGATATTCCATACTGTTGTTTTACTCCTGGCCTTTCTTCAATTATCCTGACACCACACACACGCGCGCGCGGACATGTTTTTAAAAAGGAAACACCCAGGTTGAAAAGGGATAAAAATAGATTATCTGAAAGCAGCAGTGACTTTCAAGAACATTGGCATTAACATGGAAAAAGAGTAAAATCATACGTATAGAGCCATAATTTTATATACCCCTTAGAGATGAAAAGTTTTTCAAAATAATCACTTTGTGTCTTCTTGTCCCTTGGAATGAGTAGCATTCACACAGTCAACTTCCTTGGGGCAAGCGTTGAAGAACTAGACTCTGGTGACCAGGATTTATTAATAGCAGATGATGTTCGGATTTGGAGAACATGGGCCAGGGTAGAGATTTGGGTTGTGATGGAATTTGACCTGTAAACTTAACAGGATGTAGATGTGTGAAGTTGCCCTGAGTTAGATGAAACAAGGAACAAAATAAAGTTGACAATTTGTTGAATTCTCCCTGTAATAAATCGTTGCCTTTCTCTCCGTGTCTGCTCCAAGAAACAGCCCACCTAATTGTTCTTTTTCCATCTGTCCAGCAATTCCCCGATCAGATCGTAGGATTTGTTCCTAGAAAGCATGTCACCACGTCGTCGGGCGTCTACAGTTACGGAGGCTTCGAGCTGCAGACGCCGGGCCTCGGGGACGGCGACCAGTACTCCATGGTGCTGGTCGGAGCCTCCTTCTTCAGCAGCGAGTACCTGGACCTCTTCCAGAGCCAGCCCGCGGCCGTCCGGGCCCTGATAGACGAGACGCAGAACTGCGACGACATTGCCATGAACTTCCTCGTCGCCAAGCACATCAGCAGGACCTCGGGGGTGTTTGTGAAGCCTGTGAACATGGGCAGCTTAGAAAAGGAAAGCGCGGGGGGCCACCCGGGTATGTGGCACCGAGCCGAGCACTTCCTGCAGAGGTCCTACTGCATCAACAGGCTGGCGGCCATCTACGACGGCATGCCTCTCAAGTACTCCAACATCATGGTCTCTCAGTTTGGCTTCCCGTACGCCAACCACAAAAGTAAAATGTGAAAGCTGGGTAGGAGCAAAGCTCACAACCGCTTAGCCTTTGAGCAACTCCTCCATGCCACGGTTGGTTGGCTAGTACTGTGAAGCAACGTCATGAACTTTCATCTACTCCAGAAGTCTCTACAAAGGAAAAAAAGGTACAGTGCTTCTAGGGTAGGAAAGTCACATGACCTTCAAAAACCAAGAACCGGGGGGTCTTCTGACGAGGGATCTTCATCCAGGGACACAGCACCTAGGCGAGCAGCCCGGTTGTTTACACGCAGAGACAGTCCTTCGATTTCCATGACTCCAGGCGTTGGCCTTGAGGACCCAGAGCTAGCTGTTTCCAGGACCAGAACCTGCAGGGACGCGTTTCTCTGCATTTTCCTTGAAGGATGCTCACTTTCTTGGACACTTGAAGGGCCCCCTTCGCAAAAGCCGTGAGAGGAGAGACGGGTCTTGCTCCCTTGTCGAGGCAGCGGGGCACGGGCGCCCCAGGGCTTCCCCGCGGTCCCCGCAGCCGGCCTGGCCGGGACGGACCAGCCCGATCCGTTTCGGTGCAGCCCCAGCGCTTTTCTTTCTGTTCCTCGTCTGCCGTGCCTGGGGGGTCCGGTTAATAGCGGAAGACCGTCCAGGGTTGTGCCTGATTGTCGTGGGCGTTGACTGCACAGGTCACCGGCAAGGGCAGCCCATGTTGTGAGGCGCAACTCTGGCAATTTGCAGCAGCGGTCACTGTTTTACTAGATTTCGGTGGTGCGTTTTTGTCCCTGAATCTGACCTTAAGATTGTACATTAATTCTTATATTTTACATAAAGTGTTTTTCGTTTAAGAAGTGTGTATAAAATAACTTCTGAAAGAATGTTGAATGAGAACCAGCAGAATTTAAAACCCTTAACATCAGAAGCTCTTTATTATTGAGGCCTAGGTTATCTCATGGGTACTAAACAGTTGTGTGTCATGTACACAGTCAATTTCTGGCATTCAGAACTTCCCCCCACCCCCGACACTGACTCCATAATAAGAGCTAAGGCACCGTTCACCATTATGGACCTTGGGTTATGTAGATACAGGAACAAATCCGAGATCTGCGCCACCGGGGAGGAATTCTGCGGGGAGTCCGCACCGGCTATCCGCTGTCTGTCCTGTGAGCTGGTGTCTGCGCCCCACAGTTTTGGCTTGGTCCCTCCCTGTTCACTACTGGCAGCGAGGACCACTTACGTAGGCCCTTGTCTCCTAACCCCCGCTCCCTTCCGCCTCCGCCTCCTTATCACATAATGCCGTTGTATTCCCACAATTGCAGAGCCGTGAAAATATTATTCTAACCCTGGTTTATGTTGCAACAATGAGGTCTTTGTGCAGTTAGTTCATCACACGTTTGTTTCTTTACATTGGCACACATGTGTGCGCCTTAAGATAAAGCCAGTAGGACACGGAACCTCACTAAAAATCTATAATGTTAATTCTCTGCCTTGTCCAAACTTAGTAGCAGCGTTTTGACTCTTGGGGTTGCATTGTCAGATCAATAAAATGAACTTTTACCATTTGAGTGTTCTGTGTTCATTAAGCAGACTCATGTTTCTGTGGTTGGTATTTTTACAAATTTCTAAATACTGTTCTAATGTATTGCAGAGGGTAAGGCAGACACATTAGCTACGTTCCCCAGCGTGTAAATACTCACAGGTTTTTTTTTTCCAGTTTGTGGTTATCAATTTGTCGTCAGCATCACATAAGTTAATTATATCATATTTTTCAGACATAGAGCAAATATGAAAACAGTGAAGTGCAGTCTATGTTACAAAGACTTGCACTGTGGCTAGAATTCTGCTAAAACTCTCCTTCCGTGCACATCTCTTCTTAGGCTCAGGACTAAAACAGCACCGGGGAAGAAGGCAGCTTAGGGGTTACGTGTTCCCACAGAACACACAGGCTCACGGGCTTCCTAGACTTTCTATTCACCTAACCTCTTGGAGCCTCGGTTTCCTCATCAGCCAAAGTGAGAATCCTATATACTTAGGGGATTGTTTTAAGGAATAAAGGAGATAGCATGTGTAAAAGTAGCACAGTGCCTTGCCCATTAAAATGGTCAATAAATGAATGTGCCGGGATGTGCCGTTGATCCTAAGTGCACTTACTATGCAACTCAGCACCCAGGTATTTCAAAGGCCCCTGGACCCAGCAGGTGACATGCTCAGGAAATTGTTTTTACATAACAGTGGCCAGAGAACAACCATGGTTTTCATTTTCATTTTCTTTATTTCAAGGACCCTTTTTCTTATTAAAACACAACAACATACATAGTCTAGCAATCTCAGCATAATCAGAGCAGCATAAAGAAGAAATTACAGCCCCAAACCGCACTGACAATGGCTAAACATCTTTGTGTCTTTTCCTCTCGCCTCTTCCAGGCATGTCTTAAGAGCATGGTTTATTCAGTATTCCATTGGCCAGATAAGCCATCAATATAATCTATCATCTTACCATTTTATTCGATAATTTCTTACTAGTAAAGCATTTGGGTAACTGTCTTTGCCTGTGAGCCTGTCTATGATGATTTCTTTAAAGTCCAGTCCAAAACCTTCAATGCCTGAATCTGTCTCGTGTTGTACCTGCTCTTTGAGTTTTTGGTACCTATGGCCATATACTTCTAGAGGCGTTGCCATAGCTACACTGACATCACATCTCGGGGGCACTGCTTCCCATCAGACCTGCCAGCATTGCATAGCACCAACATTTTCTTTCTCTTTTCCACGAATGAACTGCTTGAACAACGCAGGTTTGGAAGTATTTGGGCTACATTAAGAACTCCGTGTTAAGAAGACTGAAAAGACACTCAACTGTCAAATAAAAGATTCGAGGGCAGTGAAGCTTCAGGAAGATGTTAAATGCTTCTAGAAAACTTTGCCCAGGCTCAAGTACAGTCAGTGAATTGCTGACCCTTTGCTGGTCCCACGGACAAGAATTCTGAAAGCCACACCTACCAAAAAAATGTTCACATTTGTTCCTTGTGCAAAGACCTGGGCTTTGGCCCCATGCTCAGTAATGGATATGTGTGTGCACATGTATGCGTGTGTGGGTTCATATGAGTGCACCTGCACACGTCTGGTGGCAGGGGGAGGGCAGGAGGTCCAGGAAGGGATGGAGGGTGGATAACGCTGGGGCAGAGGAGCAGTGTGGGGAGGCCGGGTCTCGCTGGGTGCTGGGCCCTCGGTGGAGAAGTGGGGCCCCCCTCCAGCGCATGCTGCTTCATAGACCAGTTCTCACCGTTCGGCTGGGGTCCACCAACTTTCCCTTCTCCCGCTGCCTCTGTCTGACTCTCTGCCCCTGTTGTTCTCCCTTCTCCCCTCCCTCCTTTTCTCGTCTCAGGAAGAATCCCAATACAAAACCAAAATATTCTTTTGAAAGGCATAGGAGTGTTACTATTTTTTGTTTAATCGTCATTGTATTTTTTTCCATGACCGTTTCGTCCCCTTCTACACCCCTCCCCCCACGAATCACCACAGTCCATGCCCATGAGTCCTTTTTCCTTTTTCGCTCACTCCCCCCGAGTATCTTCAAAGCCACTTTACTGCGATGGAACGCAGAGACCTCTGCTTCGTTGGAGACCTGCACCGAGTCCTGGCTCCGCCCGATTCCTTGTCTGTTCGACGGAGCTCATGCACGGGCCCCGCAAGTTCACTGGTGGCCTTTGGTTTCAAAGGGCACAACGTTAGAGATGTTGTAATAATCAGTCATGCAATTCCGTGACCCCAGCTCTGAGCAAAGAACCGGAAATTTCCCTGGTTAAGGCCTATTTCTCACCCCTGGTCTTCTCGTGCCTCTTTCTGTTTTCACGTCTGAAGGAGCAGACGTGGGTAGGACCTAGGAATACATACATGACCCCCGAAGGGCTGCAGAACGGTGTACAGAACACAGTGTGTGTTTCAAAAACATAGTTCTAGGTACATGCAGAGGGTTGAGATCAGGTAAGCTAAATACAGATCCTCAAATCCTGTGTGTGTGTTTAAGTATTTTTACTTTAAACGCGAAACTTAATGAAAAGCTGGTGAAAACCACGTCTACACAGGAAAGAACCCTGGAATGACAAAACTAGGAAACACCTGTCTCCCATCAGGTAGGTAGTAAGTTCAGTAAATCTATCTGGGTCCCAGTTTCCCGTCTACGGAAGAAAGGGGTGAACTAAACGATCCGTAAATTCCTTCCCAGTCATAAAATTCTGTGGCTCTAAATCCCAGTGTTGAATTGGCAGGTCTTGAAGGGGCTGGGTTCTGCCTCTTGATGAGAACGCGAGTCGAGCTCGGCTGAGCTCACCCCCTCCCGGCCCCCCCGCCCCTAATCTCCCAGGAGGCCTTTCTCAAAGTGAACACGAGGTAAATCAACATCGCTACTGTCGTGTGATTTTAGGACAAACAGATGTGATGGCTATGGGAGGGTAAAGCAGAAGATGGCGATGATGTCTTAGCTCAGCCGGGAACACTGCCCGGAAGAAGTTGGGAGTTGAAAGCTGGTTTGCTCCGCAGCCAAGCCTCTGTGCCGCCGGCCCTGAAGAAGACCCGCAGACCCCTCAAGTCACATGGAACGGTGACTCGGGAACGACAGGGGCCTCCAGTCATTTCTTTAAACCGCGGGTACAAACACAAGTTTCAATGACTAAAACTCGGATTCTATTGAAATTTGTGACGCAGTTTTTTTCTGGAATTTGCTGTCTCACCAGCAGATGTCAGTACAACCTAATTAATGAACGTGTTCAGTGGGTTAAGTGCCTGCCAGTAAACGAGTGAAAATGATCTTAAAATGGCAACGTTAAAAACCTAGTCTCGATGTTTTGCAATGAAGAATATCTTAAGTGGAGCTATAGAGAAATCTTAACCCTTCAGAAAGGTCACCATGGGCCCTTGCCTGGGTGTATCCTATTACATGGCTTATAACTGATGTGTGGGTAATTATACTCTACGTGACAACAGCATTTTCAGTGACATAAAAGACACAATCTTACATGAAGTACAAAATGCTAACTTGTGATAAAGTGTAAGAATAACAGTCTTTTAAAAACTCACACATCATAGACACTACAAACAGAACTCATTTGTCTCTGGTGACAAACTTACAGCCCCTGGAGAAACCCAAGTGTTTTTTAAAATGTAAACTTTGCCTTCCACACAAGCAGCCTCCTCGGACGGCAGTGAGGCCTCTTACGTGGGAGACACGGACATGGCCCCACACAATCTCTGCGGCGCAACGGCCCCACGGGGCAGGTGGGTCCACAGCAAGTCAGCGCAGCAGGCGGCAGGCGACCCAAGGCTGTTCTCATCTCGTGGCGCAATGCCCAGTCCTCCAAAAACGCCTCTTCGTGGCCCTGGGGTGAAGGGGCCCCTCCTTGCTTTTTTGTCATCCTTGGAGATAAAGCTTTATTTTGTGCAAAAGATTTCTCCAACAGCGATAGGGAACACAAGCAGACCGGGACTGAAATTAGAATAACATAAAGAAACAGGTATCAAGTTACTTTTAGAGAAAGCAAAAGGCAGTTTTATGTAGAGTTTCAAATATACCCTTACCATATAACCCACCATCCCCAAGAGAAGCCAAGCGATATATCCACGAAAGACCTGCATACAGTGTTCATTAGAACTTTACTCTTCCTCTGCAAAAGCTGAACACAACTCCGGTCTCCATCAACCAGCTAAGGGGTGAACGGATTGTGGGTTATCCGTGAAATAGGGTGCTACTCAGCAATAAGGAGGGACACACTGCCGACAGATGCAGCAGCGTGGCTGACCCCCAGCCAGCAAGCCATGGGCGGGCGGCAGGCCCGAAGGGCCGCACACCGTCCGACTCCGCGGGGCTCGCAACCCGGGAAAGGCAAAACTGGAGCGGCAGGAAACAGGCCAGCGGTCCCCCAGGGCCTGGGCGTGGGCATGGGGGTGACTCGCCAGCCGGCCTCTCGCGTGCGACCGTGGGCGAAGCCTGCTCTCCCTCTCCGTGAACTTGCTGTTACAGAAATTGCACTAAATACTGTATTTACATTCTTTAACCTTGAACTTCTCAAGCTAGACTTATCACTCCCTAAAGTCTCCCTCTCGCTGGTCATTGTAGGAAAAGCCAGGTCGAGTATGGAGTTTCTTTGGTAGAGAAGCAGTTAATAATAATTCGAGCTTCATTCGCCCTGTCTTTGGAGAGGGAAATGACACGATTCGGCCAGCAGGTGTCGTGTGCTCACCGGTGAAAAACGGACGATCCTTCCTATCAAAATGCTTTTCAAATTAATATTGGCCTCATATTTTCACCTACAGGGATTATGAACGTTGTTTCTCTAAATGAATGCTCGAAAAAGGAAGATGTTCTAAACAGTCGGTCTTTTCCTCAGTTTTGTCCCCAGCTCTCATCAAGTGTGGTAATTAAATCTCTGTGCCACGGTGGAAAAGGACTCTCGGGTGCTCCCTCATAGGTAACGTCCGAAGAGTTTTAGAAGATGGCGTGACGGCACTGCCGACACGCTCACCCAGCCCCGGCCCAC